GGGCGCCCTGCGGCAGCGGTGGGCTTGGCGGGCCGGGGGGAACGGTCGTGGCCCTCAGTCAGGGCTGCCATGGCCCACGGTGGGCAGCGCTGCCCAGCCGCCATCACACCAGCCCTCCGGGCGCCGGCATCACCTCCGAAGACGGGTGGGAGCCTGGTCTGAACGAGCCCAGGAAAACCTAAACTAAAATCCGTTTTAACATACACATGCTAAAACTTTAGGAGAAAATAACATACATACATATATGTTTTTATTTTTATATCTATCTATCTACCTCCAATCTGATGCAGCACCGTGCTGCCTTTCCTGCCACTGGCAGCTGGGGCTGAGCCCCTCCGGGGAAGGCGAAAGCGCAGATTCCCTCTAGACCTCGAGGTCCCGGCCAGAAACGTCAGCAGAGTACCAAGAATTCAATCCAAAAATAAATAGGCCCAGGGCTGCAGGCCAAGGACACGTGGGGGGGGGGGGGGGGGCGCAACACGCGGGACCCTCAGCACCACGCCAGCCACGAGGAAGGGCTGTACGAGCGCCGGGAGCAGGCGCTGGCCGGCAGAGAGCTCTGCCAGGCACCGGAGCATCCCTGGGGTGGCTCAGCATCGCTCCGGCCATCGGGCTGGGAGCCCCCTCCCCTGCTCCCCAGCCGGCAGGACTGAGAATCGGGTCCCCTGCGACTGCATAACATACACAGGTATAAATAAGGATCTTTTTATCTTAATAAATATCAGGTATACGGTTTGTACAATATACACATAATGCCCCTGTCTCCTGGGTCCGGCCTTGCAGCGAGGGAGGATTCACACGTAGTTCTCTTCGGCGTTGTCCGTCTCCGGGGAGAATTTGGCCGCAGCTGGAAACGGAGCAGGAGAGGGGGAGAAATGGTGAGGGGTGTGCAAGGGGCAGCTGGGCGCTGGGGGTCCGAGCCCACTCCCCCCTGCTGCCTGCCCCCGGGACGCCCCGCTCACCCGAGCAGCTCCCGTAGTGGCGCACGCCGATGGAGCGGCCGCGGTGGCAGGTGGCCCGCCGGAGGTGGCACGCCGAGGGGTAGGTGACGTTGTTGTTGCCACAGAGGGCGTGGTCCAGGCTGGTGGGCTCGGGGCAGGGAGCCGTCCGGCACATCACACAGTGGGCGCTGCCTGTCTGGTCCACCACGCAGGTGTGGGTGCCGGGGCACACCACGCTGGAGCAGGACTCTGCGGGGAAGCACACGTGGCTGCGGCTGAGCCTCCCTGGCTGGGGTGAGCTGGGAATAGCTGTCTTCCTCCCACGGCTCCTCCGACCCAGGCGGGCAGCAGGCATCGTCCCAGGGAAACCTGGGCAGCTCGGGCCCCCTCCCGCCTTTAGCTACCAGGGGACCAGTAGTGGAGCCAGGGGCTGGATGGTCCCAAGCTCCCCCATCGCCGCCACTCCCGAGGACAGGAGCTGGCAGGGGCTGACATCCCAGGTGCGAGGGACCACGTGGCCCCACAGCCCTTGGGCACGGCCTCAGCCGGAGCCTCGCCACGTGGGGGGAGCTGATGTCCGGCTGGAGAGCCTGAGTGCGTGGGGCTGAGCCTGGCTTGGTGCAGTGGGACCTGGCCGGGGCAAGCAGCAAGCGGCCCCACACAGGTGCCTTGGCAGGGGGAGCAGCAGTCGCTCCGGCCAGGCTGGCAGCCGCCGCGCCACGTGCCCCGGCGAGAGGGGAAGGGCAAGGTCACCCCAGACCCAGCCCAGCCCTGCAAGCAAGAGTGCGCGGGGGCGGAGGGCAGCAGGAGCCTGTGCGGACAGGATCAGGCCCTGCATCGAGCTCTGCTGGGCTGGCGCAGAGTGGGGGGCTCGTGCAGCCCCCCATCCTGTAGCAAAACCCCGGAGTCTGTGCAGCCTGCCAGCCCCACAGCCCCCCTGCCCCGGCACAAGCCCACGGCAGCAGCGGGGGCACAGCAGGACCCACAGCACTCCCCGGACACCGTAAACACTTCGCAACGCCGTTCCTCCGCCTTCCTCTCTTTCCCTGCCGGATTGGAAGGAGATTTGGCATCTGCAACTCCCAGCTCGCAACTCACATTTCTTGCCCCACATTTCCCTGTGCAATCCAGAGCTTGACAGGCAAAGCATTTCAGAGAGGAGGGCTGGCAAAAATAATCATAATAATTCTGACAGTTCTTGGCAGGGCAAGGAGGATTGCTGCTCTCTTTAACAAAACAACAAAAAAAAGGGGCTTGATGTTTGTAAGTGACATTTTATGGACTGTTATTCCTCAGCCTGCGGCGAGGCTAAACCCCTGTTGCACTGACAGGCTGCATCGGCATCACAGGAGGCTCCGCTGCCGCGTCCCCGCTGGGGTGGCCGGGCCAGGGCCCTGGGCGGCCGGCGGGTGCCAGCCGGGCGGGTGCCAGCTCGGAGCAGCTCCAGCCGGCTGCAGGCAGCATAGCGAGGGCGATGCCGAGGGGTGACTCCCCTGCGGGCCAGGGGCCGCTGCTGCCCATCAGCGCTGGGCTGGCTGCGGAGCAATGCCCCCTCACCAGGCACAGAGCCCCACGTGCCGCAGGCGAAGCCCTGCGCCGGGGCAGACCTTCCCTCCTCGGGCACAGCCAGGGCCGGGCACCGGTTACAAACCCTCAGTGCTGTGCTGGTGGAGCCGCTGGCCTCGGGGCAGTGGGAGCAGCCGGTGCTCAGGGCAGGACGGCTCCTCCCCAGGACACGCTGCCCACGGGAGGCAGGGGGGAGAGAACGGGGGAGACCCCGGTGGGAGAGGGGAGGACGTGCCCAGACATGCTAGCACGACACGGCAGGGCAACCCTTCCTCTCCGCACCAGAGCAGCTCACGGTGTGCCAGGAGAGCCGGTGAGCGCGTGGGCCCGGGGACCCGCACTGCCGTTCATCTCTTTCCACGTGGGCGCAGCTTGGACCAGTCCCACACGGAGCTGGGAGCACAAGAACCACAGGGGACGGGACAGGATGGGGACGGGACGGAATGGGGTGGGGGCACGACTGGACCTACTTTTGCATTTGCCCTGGTACATCACTTCGAGGTCGGGGTGGTCTCTGCACTTGGCCGTCAGCAGGTCGCACTCGTCTCGGTAGGTGTAGCCGTCGGAGCCACAGACCTGCAGCTTTCGGGGCAGGCTGGAGCAGTCGGGGGCACAGGCACATTGGGGGCGCCCGTGCTTCATCTTGCAGACCTTGTCGGGGCCACACACCACCCCCTCGCAGCTCTCTGGGGACAGAGGGGAGCAGCACGTGAGGAAGCGGCAGCAGCTGCCACTCACTTGGGAAGGATCCGTCCTGCCCAGCACCCCGCCCCATGGCCATGCCAGGTGGCACTGACCAGGACGGGGCCAGCATCAGCCCTCGGGGACCCCGTCCTGCCCGGGCTGGCCAGCACCCTGGCCCCATGGCCATGCCAGGTGGCACTGATCAGGACGGGGCCAGCATCAGCCCTCGGGGTCCCGAATCCCTCCCGGGGTCACAACATGCATGCTGACGCCGAGCTGCCCCAAGCAGCATCTGGATCTGCTCAGCTCCGCCAAGGAGCAGGTCGTTGGCTGGAGCTCTGCGTGATCATCCAGCACTCACCCCAGCCAGAGCCCCGGCCCTCCACTCAGCACCAGCTAACTCATTTCTATGTATTTATTTTTTGGAAGGAGGCATTTCTTTTTCTTGTGCAATGGAAAAATCTATCTCTGCAAGGCCCCAGCTCCTCCAGAAGGAACTAGGCTTCACAAGTTGTCTGGGTAATCAAGAACGCCGCTTCCACCAGACAATACCCAGCCCTGTTTCGCTCCAGGCCTCCGTGACTTGAACACAAGAGCGGGACGCAGCAGCAAGTGCAGATCCCCAGACAGGCGGCCGCTTTGTCGCCTGGGTCGCCTCCTGGCCAGTACGGGGACAGGGTTCAGAAGGTCCCACCAGCGCCCAGCGCTGCCCCGGGGCCGTGCCCACACTGGCGGGAATTGGAGAGGGAGACGCCAGCTCCGACCAGGGGCCCGTCCCGGATGCTGGTGCCTCCATGGGGAGAGGCAGAGGGGTCAGCGCCCAGCCCACGGCAGGGATGGGGGCTTCTGGCTGGGGTGGCTGGAAGCCTCTCACCCCCCACAAAGCAACGTGCACAGCCCTTACCCCAAAAGGACCCTTTGCCCCCTGAGCTCCCCAGGATGCGGGTGATGCCGGGAGTTGGGGGGTGCAGGGCTGCCTCCAGATGCAGGAATGTGGCTCCATCAGCACCCGTGGGGAGGAAGGCCAGGCAGGACCCAGAAACTTCCCGAGACAGGGATTCACCCCCAAGCAGGAGGGATTCCTGCAGACAGGGTGTGTGCTGGGAGCTGTTGGGAGGTACAGAGGGGGATTTCCCTGTGGGAGACGGGTCACTTTGGGAGACAGGGGCGGGGAGGAGGAGGGGGAAATTCCCCATCTGCTTGGCCCAGCTCTCCCCATGGGAAATTCCCTGGTGGGAGACAGACAGTTTCCCGGTTTGCTCCCTGATTTCCATAGCTGGGGCCTATCCAAGGGAAGGGGAGAGCGGCAGGCTGAGCCCCTGCAGCATCTCTGCTGAAAGCTGCAGGGGTGAGACCCTGGGACAGAGGGGCATGACCCACACCCCATGGCTGCTGGAGCAAGCAGGACCCTTGTTGCCCTCCACTCTGGGACGCTGCCACCAGCGCGGCAGGGTCCGGCCGTCCAGACTGTCTCGAGCAAGGGAGGGAGGCAGCGGGACCATCCGCACATGACCCCGACCCCACAGCCCAGCTACCCCTCCCTGCGCTGGGTCCCCGGGGGGGACACCATGTCCCCAGCAGCTGGAGCCAGGAATTTTGCCTCCCCACTGGAGGCCCGTTGTGGAGCCCCCGGGGTCTGGCCAGCACCTTCCCGTGGGGCTCAGCCTCCCCGGCTGCTGGCACAGGGCTGGTGGCTGCAGCCCACTTTATCCTGGAGTAACCTCTCCCGGCCCCGCGAGCCCGGGGAGCAGGAGCACAGCTCGTCTCATCCACCCTTTTCCAAGGCCTCCGGCTCACTGGAGCCCGGTGGGGAGCAGCACCAGCTCCATCTGGATGGGATAGGCAGGGGCTTTCTGAAGGGTGGGGAGTTGTGTTGTACGTGCCGGCCGGGCTCTCCGGCGGTTTCAGCAAAGGTCCTGCTCCCAGACCCCAATGATCCCCAGGAGCCACAGCCCCCAGTGCGGTCTGTGGCCGCCAGCAGCCCCCCGTGTCCCCCAGCCTCCCCACAGAGGTGAAGGCAGACCCCTGGGACAAGGGCTGCCCGTCCCCACTGCGCTCTGCCCCACACATGGGGGGGACCCATGCTCCCCAGCCAGCCCCTGGAGAGGGTCCCGGTGCTCCTGGCACCCGCCAAGTGGGGCCAGCCTGCCTGGCCGCCACAGGGCTGAGCCCATGGTGGGAGATGGGGCAGAAAGCCAGGGCCAGAATCTCACTCAGCCTTCAGCTGGCACAGGGTGTGATCCCGAGCCTCGCCAGGACAGGGCCGAGGACCAGCCGGGACAACAGCACCAGGGGGTGCAGAGGCGCTGGAAGAAGCGGTTTTGTTAAGAGCCTTTTTCCCCCTCTTTAAGCAAATAACGATGTGACCTTCCAAAGACCTGCTCCTGCCTACTGCGGTCAGCAGGTCCTCGAGCATGTTCTCACACGGCCACGCAAGTGCGACTGGGGGATCTGCGCCTCCGGTGCGCGCCAAAACATCTGGCGGGGCTGGAACTCACAGCTGGAGAGTTTCCACTTCTGGAACTGCCCGTTACATAAAGCCATTTCACACACATGCTGGGAGGAGGCAGGGGAGCAGAGGGGAAGAAATAGATCTTTTTTCCTTAAAAAAACCTAAGAAGTTTCCCTCTGAGCAGACCTGGCGAGGGCAGGGGTGGGAGGCCCCAGCCACAGCAGAGTTAACCTGGGAACAGGGAGTCCCAGCTCGGCTCCTCGCACTCGGGCTGCCCAGCCAAGACCCAGGTCATGCATCCCACTCCGCAGAGTAGGATACAAAAATATACACAAAGTGAGAGCTGCCAGGGGACGGAGGCTGTCCCATGAGCCCTGGCCCCATGGCAGCATCCATCCCAGAGCTGCAGCAGCAGGAGCACGGGGTCGGCAGTCCCCGGGGTCCCTGTGCCATCCCAGACAGCCCAGGAGGGCACTGGAGATCCCTGCCTGGTGAGGGGCAGCCCAGCCCCATCGCTGCCACTTCACCCAGAGCTGCGGGCTCTAAGCATCCTCCCCAGGGCTCCGAGCATCCTCCCTGAGCAGACCTCAGCCCTGCCGCAGCCCACTTGCCCCACAGCCACACTCACCTTTGCAGGGGTGGCAGGTCACCAGCCCCAGAAAGCCCAACAGGCTGATCTTGTTGCCTGGGTAGGTATAATTAGACCAAGCCACGTCCACGTTGCCGTTGGCACAGCATTCCTCCCACGTCACACCCGTCTTCAGGATCATGGTGCACTTGGCCTCCTTCCCCTGCTGCAGCCAGCAGATCCCACCTGCGGAGACAACAGAGGGTGAGGGGTCGCCGCTGCACTGTGCCACCACGCGAAGGGCAGTGAGACCCCGGCCATGGCCGGGCCACCCACGGGGCAGAGGCATGGGGACCGCACCGCTGCCCAGGAAGGTTCAGCATGGGACGAGCTGGCTCCCACCTCTCCTGTGGCACAAGGACTGTCCCGGAGCAGGTGTCCCTGTGGGCCCCCAGCACAGTGCGGCAGCTCTGCGCCTGCACTGCTGTCCCAACACCCCAGGGTTCGACAGCCTGTGTCCTCTGGCAACAGGCTCCAAACCCAGCACTGGGGCCGCAGGGATGCACCAGCTATCCCAGCACTCGCAACCGATGCTCTGGGAGATGCCCAGCCAGCGAGCCAGGGTGTGGGCTTGCAGCTTACCCCCTTGCCCTGCCCTCCCTGCATCGCTGCCTAACTCCTGCCTGACCCCACAGAGGGGAGGCTCCAGCCCCCACCACCTCTCCGCAGGGACACCCAAAGCGGGGCTGATGGGCGCCTGTGCTGCAAGTGCTGGATCCCTGGCATGCGCCAGCCGCCCCACGGAGGGACAGGGACTGGCCCCACGGCACGGGGGCCCAACACGCACGGCCTTTGCGAGGAGCAGCCAAGCCACCGGCTGGAGAACAGGGCACTTGACACAGCCCTTGGGATGGGGCCAGTCCAGCGGCATTGGATCCCTCTGAGTCAAAAGCCTGTTTGTTCCTTAACCCCACGAGCGAATCAGTTATTTTTTTTTTTTTGTGAGTGATTCCTTTGCAATTTCCGCCTCTGCAAACCAGCCTCTTCTGACGCTTATTTGGGTTTATGCTCTCATTAGCTGCGTTTGAGGTTTGTTAAACAGCTAAAGATGTGAGCGAGGGATGGGGGAAGGGACAGATCCTGCCAGTGCCAGGCTGGAGTCGCTCCCCTCCAGAAGTAGGGATTCACCCTGCTCCAAACCAGAGTCAGCACCCACCTTGGACCCCAGGTGTGTGTCATCCCCACCCACCACGCACCCGATTTTGGTTCGTCCGAAAGCATGTGGGGCTCCTGGCCCAGCTGCAGCCAGCAACAGCTCCGCAGGGCGGCCGTGAATGGAGCAAACCCTTGGGCTGCGGGAACCTGCTGCCTGGACACCTCTGGAAGCATCAGCCAGGCCAACGCACCTCTGCCATCAGTGGGCTTATCCCCCATGGATTTGTCTAATTGCTCTTTCAAGCCCATTTTTCCTTTACAGCACCCCATGACCCCAATTCCCCCACGGTACCGAGTTCCCCAGGAGTCGTGTGCTGGCTTTGGACCGTGCTCGCCCTGCAACTGCTGCCCATGGGCACAGCCACATGCAGAGTGATCCCACCTGCAACAGGATGGACCCACGCACCCCCTGCCCACGTGTCCGGCCTATGGGGCACACCCCTGGCCAGCGGCAGCGGGACACCCGCCGCCTTCCAAGCCACGCTGGGGTGTGGAGACACCGACAAGGGATGCGCCTCAGGCAGGAGGGGACAGAGCCCACCCGCCCTGTGAGCAGAGCCAGGCGGCTGCAGGCTGGAGGGGGCCAGTGCGGGGCTCTCAGGGCGCCCCATCCTCGGCACCTCAGCCACAAGGGTGCAGCACTCCCGCGCTCAGCATGGCTGAAGGACCTGGGCTCTGGCCAGGGGGGAACGCAGCATGTCCCTGCCCGGGGCCTTCCAGCACTTGTACTTGACCCTGCGAAGCAGCAAGCGGAAATCCTGCAGGCTGGGGCGATGCCAAACGCAATCCCAGGGGCTGCAGCAGCACGAGGGGCCTCACGGGAGCCTCCCCCATCCTTCAGGGCATCCTGACCTGCCGCTATCCAGGGAGCACAGCGCCTGCCCACACTGGCAGGGAGTGATGGAGACAAACGGGACTGTGTGAGGGGGAAGATGGAAACTCCAGAGCCTCTGCGGGAGAGCCGATGCTGGTAGTAGCAGCCACAGCTCCGCATTGCTGGGAAGGGCTGCTGGAGCCCCAGACCAGGGTCCCGGCTGGCCTGGGTGCCGGGATGGCTTCTCTGCAAGGAAACAGCTACCAAAGAGCCCGGACATCTCCCAAGCACCCACGAGAGCTGCCAGCATGGTCAGCTGAACCGGGAGGGGTTCAAGCTGCAAACTCCACACCCAGATCATGAACCGGCCGCCGTTCCCAGTTCTCCCTACCCAGCTCACAAAGCTCCGGAGCGCAGCTCTCCTGCCCCCCAGCCTGGGGTGAGGGATCCCCTCCCAGGCAGCTGTCCTGGGAGCAGTGTGGGGGGGCTGGTGGGGCCAGCCAGGCTGTTGCCCCCATCGCCCCCATCCCAGGGGGACGTGGCAGCGGGGCCACGTGGGACCCTGGGTGCTTGCTCCCGCTTGCGGCAGCCCCAGGAGCGAGCCTGATGGAGGCAGCTGCCTCCAGGGAGGGACAGGGGCCACCTGAGCGGCACTGCCGGGCACCGCTCTGCCACCGCCTGGCACCCGAGCGCCTCCCGGTAAAACGGGTTTCTG